TTTTTGCATATATGCAAATGCGAAAGCGCATATTGCGACGACCCCGGTGTGTGTGTGTGTGTGTGTGTGTGCGTGTGTTTGCGCGCGCCTGTCCGAGTATTTCAACTCGGCACCCAAGCAAGCTCTGGCGTCAAAATTTTGCCGGTGGGTCCTCCAGTCAAGTGCCACGCCAGGAATGCGATACCAACCTTCACGCAAGTCCGGGACTCGCTTACAGGGGGGTCAAAGTTTTGGCGGGAAAATCGCTAACTCAGGAGCCAGAAAAGCTAGAAAGCTGAAATTTTGAGGCTGTGTTTCCCGCCCATACGGAGCTCAAGGATTTCAAGTTCAGCCTTCAGGTGTGCGTGCTACCCGCGTGTGGTCCGTGAGGATTCCTGGCGTGAAAATTGCTAACTTGGGGACCAGGAAAGTTGAGGAGCTGAAAATTTCAGGGAATGTTCCCGGCACATGTACAACATAAAATTATCGAATTCAGCCCCCAGACATACGTTATTATCAAGTGAGGCCCATGAAATTTTTTTGAAGAAAAAATGGTAACTCTAAAACGGGAAAAGTTGGGAAGCTGAAATTTTAGCGGAATGTTCCCTGTCCAAGTGCCGCGTAGAGAATTAACTTCCCGAACTTCGAGGACCAATATGTCGCAAATCCTAGCTACCAGGTTTTTCGAGCGATCTCATTACAGCACGAAATACTACAAAAACGCATGATCGCATGTGCCCACCCGGTGCGCATTGCCAATAATAAGATCTTCCCTCACACGCGCCTAGACCCCGTTTACGAACACCCCAAAGAAATATACAAATTTCTTTGATTAGAAGTGATTTTGCGAACCAGGCAAGGTACAAAGCTGAAATTTTGCAGGGACATTCTATGTGTATGTGCGAGCTAAATATTTCAAGTTCAAATGCTGCGCACGTTTGCGCAGTGCATATGACTACATCAAAGTTTGCGGCTTGTTACTTGCTTACTCAAAAACTTGCCGGAAAACGTTGGCTGAAATTTTGTCAGGATGTTTGTCTCCCATACAGGAAATAGCATACCTAAAATGAGTACCGATTTTTGCTTGGGCCACGACTGAGGGCACTTCAAAGATATTTATAGCGAACTGGATATTTCGCTAGCGGAATAAGCTGCGAGGGTGAAAACTCGTTCGGTCTTAATTCTACTTGGAAGTGAAATTCATTGCAACTGGGCGTGAGAAATACTCAACTATACCGGAAAATCAGAAACGAGTGCATTTTGCAGCGAACGGCCGCCCTCATCCAAATGTAAATGAACATCAGTTCGGTGGTTGCATGAAGCTCGATCGTTTCTAACAAACGACCGCTCGATCACTACTTCCACTTTTTAGTGAACTGGGAATTTGAATTTTTCAAAAAGCGAACATTTACCGAAAAAACGACTGAGCATCATGCAAAAAACTGGTAATCATGACCTGGAGGTCTATGCGGCTCTATAATATAACACCATCATCCCAACCGATGCCCCATTCTGCTGCGTGCCAGGGGAAACCAAAAGATGGCCAATGTGTGCCCAAGTGTTTGGCTACAGCGCAGGGATTATTCCTGCTATTAGCGACCCGCGAGTTCAGTACAAAAACGCATGATCACACCGGCAAACTTGCTGCGTTCCAGCCTGGTTTGCAATTTGCACATAAACAAAAACGCGTACTGGCAAGAGGCTGTCTGTGTCTGTGTGTATGTCTGAGCGTTAACACTTTTTGTCACCCATTTCCAACTCGAAAAGCAGAAAAGCTAGAATGCTGAAATTTCGGGTGTTTGTGCCCATCCCATGTATGACCCTTCCGTTCCAATATGAACCCTTGTGTACGCTAAGATACAGTTGCGTAAAGAAATATGCAA